CGATCGAGTCGGCGGCCAAACCCCGTCGCATAGCCGCCCCCTTACGGGCGAACGTGACGTGAGATTTGCAGCAACAGTAGTAAAACAGTTTATTGAAAGCCTCGCGAAATTCACGATTGGTCGCCGCATAGAGATAGGAGAAGGTGCACGAGTTGGCCAACGCTATCCACCACATGGTGTCCAAGTAGTCCTGCGGCACCCGATTGATCGGATCCACAATCATCGCCACCACCTGTTTAGCAACGATTAACAAAAGTTTACTTCTTATCCAGTTTTTGTTACAGTAGTGTTACATGTAATACAGTGTGTTTTCTCGTGTGTTTTCTCTCTTTCTGTGTGAGTGTTTTGTTATTGAATTTTACAATTTATTGATTTTTTGTTTTTTATTTTTTCCGAGAATTTTATTTATAAAATGTTCACAAAATGCGCCCAAAATGCAGAGAAATTCTTAGGATTATTGTCTTAATAAAGTTTGTGTTTTAATATTTTTGACATTTCACTTCTATCTACTAAATTGTTTGTCAGATGTAATGTACTCTACGTTATTAGTACAGTACAGTTGTACAAGATTTTAGGTATTTATCTGCTTTCAAACCCCAATCAAAGCGATTGAAAGTATATATCGATTGGATTTATATCTAAAAATAGCGAAACTAAATACGCGATCAAATAATTCACTGATTGTAGAAATTGAACTAAAATCTAAAGGACTTATTTCATTAGATGTTATATACTTTTTATTATTATTTCCATTAAAAATATCGAAAAAGTGCTATTAATGTACACATTATAAGAGCTCGTAATTGACATTATTTACTATTTTAAGGGGCGATTTGTCACAACATTAGCTATATTTACACAGAATATTACTTTATTTTCTTTTCTCACTAAAAATAGGCACTAAATTAAAGCCAGAATTTACAGAATTAATTGAAATTCAATTATTTATTTGACATATAATGGCTGCGAAAGGGCTAAACACAGCCACACAATGCCTTTCTGTCGGTTCATTGAGTTAATTGATTTGCGAAACAAGAGTCGCCTTTATTTCGTACCGACAACTCCTTCAATATTACAGCGAATGTTGTATTTATTGGTTTTGCAATTCATTGAATTCGTGATGAATTTGTTTTAAATAATATATGAATTGAGCCGTAAAAAAGCAATTAATTAATTTTGTTGGTCGTAATAAATAACTCCTATTTATAAACGGCTAAATATACTAAGGAATGGTACTAAATATAGATTGTAATAGATGAAACATGACACTAACCAAGGGCATCCACATGGCCAACGATATCAAATAGACAATACAATTGGATTGTAATAAATAGCCATCGGTTAGGATGAATGCGGCCGTCGGGTCACCAGAGGATTCAATTTGCATTTTATAGCTCTTGTATTGAAATAATGAACGCGTAAAATACCATATTGTTATTAATGAGAACAGGATTATAGTGCCTATTATCAAGGTAGAAATATAATTCATTATTATTACATTATTTTATTATGCATTTTATAGCTCTTGTATTGAAATAATGAACGCGTAAAATACCATATTGTTATTAATGAGAACAGGATTATAGTGCCTATTATCAAGGTAGAAATATAATTCATTATTATTACATTATTTTATTAACAATAATAAATTTATAAAAGTAATTATTTGTTATTACAAATACTTAAGTTTTTAGTTAGTTATGAAGGGTGCAAATGGTAAATTATAGCAATCAGTATTAAAATGTAAATTTCCCATGTGATATAGATATTTATTTAAAAAATTATAAATAAAAATTATAAACGTAAAAATTAAGAAAATATTTGTATAAATTAGTAAATTTCTAATTTAAAAAGTTTAAATGCTTTTAACTAATACTGTATAACACTTACAGAAATTATCATTTAAATATATAGATATATTCCGTATATTTTTCAGCAAAATTTCATGAGAAATATTCAAACTTTACTTTTAGCTACAAATTAAATAAATTGTTAATATAATCATGACTTTAATTAATACAGAAATTATCCAATGAATTACATGCAGTATACCATAAAATCTAACCAATTAAATGCAAAAACATTTACAGTGCAAATAATAAGTTACTAGGTTAAATATAAAAGTATATGAAATGACTGATACCGAGTACGTATGGATGAAAGTCGATCCAAACGGCGAGCTTTCGCTTTTCCGGACAAAATTCTGGCCCCAAGTTATAGATGTGTTGAACGATTGGGAAAACGATAGCCACCGTCCAAATCAATAGTATGATGAATACGATCCGGCATTTCGTACAACACAAGTCGTACGTCACTAATGAGCCGAAACCGAAAT